TTGCTTTCGAAAAGAACAGCTCATACCATAGAGAACAGACTATGGTTCAGTCATCTTTCCCTTTACAGTCTACTTCACATGTTCTCCTGAAGAGCACACATCCTAATGCTGCAGCATTTCTACAAGGAGTAATATAACAAAGGCTGACTTGGTCATGACTGTGAGTCCATTGTCTGGACAAGATTGTTCTTTCTATGTTTGTACAATTTGCTTCTAGGTCTCGGAGGGGATGGCACAGAGCTAAGAGTCCACCCTCCTTCATGCAACAATTTTTTTTTTCAGTAGTGCCTCTATCAATTTTAAAATTTATCTTCAGTTATCTTTAATTTTTATTTCTTAAATGGAAAATACATTCAAATTCAAAAGCTATAAAGGTATACAATAAAAATCTTCCTCCCACCCATCCCCCAGCCACCCAGTTCCCAGACCCCAGGGCAAATAATGTTACCTTGCTACCAACTGTTTCCGTCTACTTACAGAAATAATCTATAAATATATAAACAAATATATTTATTTCCTCTTTAACTCAAAGTATAGCATATAAAATAGTTATGCCATTTTTTTCTTGGAAAAATTCCATATTGCTATTTAAAGAGCTTTCTTTTTTTAAAAAACAACTAACACATAGTTTTTAATCCTTCAGATAACTGCAATTTATAATGAAATCATCTCTCAGCCTGAGTACCTAAAAGGCAAATTTACTTTCTATGGATTCCAGAATAAGAGCCATTAAAAAGCAACATTTTTCAAGAAAGTCCTTCTTCTGGGATGACAGATTTCACCTTTCCTGTAAGTACTTTGGTTCAGATAAAGAACACAGGCTCATGGACTTACCGGTATCCCCCAGTAGCAGCCTTGTACCAAAGATGTAGCTGGCACTTGCTACTCCGATTGGCTCATAAGGGAGTTCGCAAATGGACCAGGTGATAAAAAAATGATCAAAACTAGACACAGAATACCAACAGATACACTGAAATATCGTTGGTTTCAAGCTGAACCTAATTTGCTAAATCCTTACCTATTCTCCAATTTTTTTTCAAGCCTTCCCACCTCAAAAAAGAAAAAAAAAAAAGATTTTCCTCCTCAAGGGAAACATTTTGAATCAAAAATGAAAACTACATTTTCTAAAACTACTAGATGGTTGTCTGACCAAATTTGGTCTACACCAACATTTGATTTGATTCAAGGCATGGTTACTCCAAAGTCACTCAGAGGCATTAAGTTCAATTTCCCAGAGTGGCTGCATTGACCATCATTTAGAAATGTCTGCAATTGGTGTGAGGTCAGAGCTAAGATACTAAACACTGAGCATACTGCCCCTCATAGTCCTAGACTTCAAGTACATTATTTTTAAGGGGTGAAAGCAGCATACATCAATACAATCATTGGCAATCTGGTGAATACAAACAGAATTCTGAGCTGTCTTCTGCAGATATTTCTAAAGAGCTGCAGGACCACTTTCTAAATAAACTGGTAGTTAGCTCTTTAAGACCAAGTGGGGAGCCTTATTGAAGGGGTTCCCTCTGGAGAACTGAGCTCCTCCCAACCCCAATAGGAGGAATTTGATGAGTCTGTGAGGTGGAGAATGAGAATGGAATATGCGAGGACGCTGTGCAGGATTTTGGGAGCAGTTACCCAGAGAGGGGTCTAGAGCTGGGGCTGAGCTGGATCAGGAGAGAGCAAGTCAAAGCAGGTAGAAGGTGAAAAGAGCTGTGCCGAAAGCAGGATCTCCTGCCTGACTGGGACCCAAGTGTGAATTCCTTAATTTTCCATAGCACAACTGATACAAGGATTTATGGTTAAATTCTTCATCTTATCCCTTCTCGCATAAACATGGAGAATCTTTATTGTTCTTACTCCTGCCATGGTTTGGGCTCAAGGCTTTTGAATTGTCATTCAATTTTCACAAGACTTCTGTGAAGAGGATACTATCCCTTGCAGATAGAAAACTGAGAGATGAAGTGACTAGTTCAAGGTCACACAGTGTTTGGGCATGTGGCTATTATTTATTAAGTACCTCCTTCTGGAATTTTTATCACTTCCCTTGTTATTTATAAAGGGAGTACTGCAAAATGATTAAGGACTTTACTTACTGTTTAATCTAATCACCCTCAATAATTCCATAAAAGCTAAGTACACCTGTCCTACCACTGAGGAAACTGAGGCTCAGTGTGGGTTGGAGAGTTGTCATTCAGAGTAGAAAAGCTAGGTTTGACCCCTAGCTCCAATGCACTGCCTTTCTCATTTGTAATGCTGGGTCAGCTTCCCCACTGTGCTTGCAGACAAGTCCAACAGCTCAGCAGTTATTAAGCCCCGAGAGCCATTTCCTGAAGCGACTGAAAATTCAAACCACTACTAAAATAAGGTCTGATGCATCTGGCCCCTTCCAAGTTAGAAAGCATTTCCAGATAGGCTGATGGGACTCAAAGGAACAGAAAACCACATTTCTAAACCCCTCTGAAGGTAGCTTCATGGGGACAACTGGCCTTGTCCTAGGCAGACTACTGGTACAAGTTCACCCAAGGAAGTCAAACTGTTCTTCAAACCAGGCACCACTAGAGCAGTACTGGAGCTCCATCTCAGCCACAAGAATGATGGGATTGGGACATCCTGGGAATAGTGCCAAGTGGAGAAACCAGTGATCTCTAGAAAGGCTTTAGCCATGACCCAATCCCAGATTAACTGCGCCCTAGCTCAGAGGCCTGGAATGGAGGCAGACGCTCAGCTGGTTTCTCCAGGTTCCCAATCTTAGATCCCTGGCACCACGTCCTTCTGTACTCTGCCCAGAAGTCTACTTCACCACTTCCCAGAGTTTACTATGTGAAGAATTCTGTTGCTACTACCTGTGACCAAGTGGAACTTGCCATGGCTAACTGTAACCCTGACCAACTGGAATTAAACATTTGACTTGACATTAGTTTCTAGGGTTCTACTGGGCCCATTCTTTTTTTTTTTTTTTTTTTTTTTTTGCTGGGGCCATTCTTGAGGCAACTGAAACCTGTTTATATTTGCATGGAGGTGGGAGATGGAGAGAAGGGCAAACTATTGGGTTTTGGTTCTTTTCCTGTCTCCCTTTGTATCACTATGGAAACATTACATTTGCCTGCTTCCCCCATTGAGACTGAGCAGAGTAGCACATAAACAGTTGGGGATGTGGTGACAGCACCACAGGCTCTCATCTTTCTCAAAAGAAATGAATAAAAAGAGGAGACTTTCAGAGCTTCCCTTTGCACTTTCATGTCCAGTGCACAAAGCAGAACAGAATACCTATTGATCTAGCAGTGGGGACCTGGGAAAGGTGCTGGGGTTTCTGAAAAGCAGGGAAATGGCATCCAATGTAACCTGGTTTATATTAGCACAGGTATGAGCCAAATCCCTATTTGACTCTCAGCTCCATCACTCAGTTTGTGTAATCTTAAAAATAGAGGCAAAAATAAATAGATGCCTCTGATCCTTTTAATTCATCTATAAATGGGAGATGAAATCTCCAGGCTTATTGTGAGGACTCCCAGATGAAGTCCATTTTAAGGGGTTACAACTATTTCCTTTCTTCCCTCACATGCCCTGTAAGAGAACCTCTCCATCTCATACCCACTCCACCCCCACCCCACAACGGATCTGTCCAACTTGAGTCAGATGTCCCCAACTGGCCTAAGGAACCCTGTGAACTAAACCATGTCTGGTCCAGTTTAGACATATTGAAGATGCTGAGAAAGCGAAGCCATAGGAGGGAAAAAAAGAAAACAGAATAAAAGATTCATAAAGAAAAGAAGTTGACAGATTACAAAGACCCACATAGAAGGCAAACTTAGTTCCAGATGGGATTTGTCCTCATGTGGGATTCACCAGGTCCCTTTACCATGATCCTTTATATCTTGAATTAGGATGGTTTGAGCTATCCTATTTCTGGCAATCAACAGCGACAGACCCCAAGAAAGACGATGTGAAGTACTTACTCAGGTATCTATGATGGGTCAGGTGCTAGACTCATAGCAGCTATTATTTCAAAACATCTCACTCACAATTTACTGCTATATGCTTAACAGTTATGGAAGATACTAACATAAGCAGATATTCAGTGGGACTGCCCGAATGGCTTACGGGTTCGAATCAAACTAGCTGGTTTCATAAACAATGCCTATTGCAACTGCAGTTGGAAGCTTGGGACAGTGAAGACACTCTTCTATTTTTCTATATTACGTCTTTCACATTAAATAAATGCCTCCTTGACTACTGGAGAAAAAATAATTGTAATATTCAACTGAAGCTGAGAAATAAAGCGACCTTTGTTTATTTTTTTAAAAGATAAACATGACTGATCTACACTAATCATGACATTTGAGCGAAATAAAAACAATGTTTAACATTTTTAGTCTATAAATAATTCCCTAATTTCACTTATTCTGTTAGCCAAAGATAAGACTGCAAATGAGAGAACTGGATAATGCTTATTGATTTAAAGGTATCAGACATGGTATTTGATTCTGAAGAAATGAAGACATAAATGGAAAAAAAAGCTTATAGCAAGGAACTTGGTAAAGAATGACATTTAAAGGTTGATACATGAATTTTACATGCTTGACTTAACAGATTAAAACATTTTTCAAGTCCTTAATTATAAGAACAGCAGCAAAACTTAAGACAATTAAAAACTGGCATTTAAGAATCTGCTGTGTTGTTACCAATACATGTAAGACAACTGTATCCGTGAATCCCAAGAAACTATTCTATTCCCAATTGCTAATCTATTCAAGCCAACGTGCACGGACTTTGTTTCACTTTCGAATGTGTTCCCTTGTTCTGGGTTTAAACTGTACCTTTAGATACAGCAGCCTGAGCGTAATGGGGTTATAATGCACGGCTGCAGACCCAGTCTCACTGCATGACAATTACAGCACATCAACAATTGTAATTAAACCAGGCTTGAGTGGACGCCCTCATGTTGTAAATACATCACATATCAAAATTACAAATTACAGAAATAAAGACAAATAATAGCATGAAGGGCATGATAGTTTATTTTAAAAAATTGTACCACACTGATCATAATGACCAGCATACACATTATGATGGCTTTTCTCTTGGGTATTAACATTGCAGTATTTTTGTATACTGAAATGTTTCAATAGGACCAAGAACGTTAGAGAAATAAAGATCTTAGATGAAAATGAACACTAATAATTCTGGTGTCCTACCCCCACAGAATTCATTTAAACCCCTTATGAATCAGTGGCATTATAATGTTATATAGTTATGAAGAACAAAAGTTCTCTTCTAAGTAGGCAGCATGAACTTATACCTTGTACTTTAATCTTTAGTTTTTATAATTTAAGCTATGTCCACCCTGGCTAAAGCACAATCATAAAGACACCTCAGATAATTTCCATGCTACCACTGCACAACTTTAGTGATTTTACTTAAAAAAAAAAAAAAATTCAAACCACCATCAAAATAAAGAGGCAAATAAAACTGATTTTCAAATCATTTGAAAAGCATAGTGCTTATCTGTCTGATATAGGCTCAAACTTAAATTAAATGCTATAATTATAATCTCCAAACTTCTGCAATAAAATTAACATATATATATATATATGGGTTTTGTTTATAGAACTATATTTTGCAATCAATCAACAAGAGAAAGTTACTTTTAGAGAGCAATATATTTGGTTACAATTCCATGTATCTGTAGTAGAGATGAAGCCACATGATGTTAAATCTGGCTCTAAGTTACCTAAGGTATAAAATTTTGATCAAAATTATGACACTCTGATCTTAAAAATTCAACCCATATGAGATGATATTTTAGAGTAAATTTGCTGTTATTACTTCAATAATCGTTTCTTTTTTGACTGCTGCAAATTGACCCTTTCTTTTTTAATCAATGTGACTCACCAATATTTCAAATTGACCTCTTTACTTGCATTCTACCATTTCAATATCCAGGGATTTCTGAGGCAGCATAAGTTTGACTTCATAAAAACAGTAGATACTTTAACCTTTCAGTGACAATTTTTAAATCTGTAAACTCAAAAATCACATTATTTATAGCTCAGCAACTATAAAAACATTGAGATTTTGGCATCTGAAGCCAGAATCTCTTTGTGCTTTTTAAATTAAGCTGCTTTTGAATCTTTTTGGTATTTATCAGCCATTCATATTTCCCTTATAATAATAAAAGAATATACTTAAAGTAATTTTTAAGGTTAAATGTCCTGGGGGCTTATCAATATTTTTTTTTAAGTTATTTTTTTTCCTTCTGCATTTGGAATAGTAGAAATTATTTCTGGTCCCTCCTTAGATCAACCAACACTACTTTCAATCACGTATAACACTGAATTTTACAGACATCCCTGAAAAGTTTTTGATTAAGTAAACGAGTGAATCACAGTGGAGTCTCAATCAGTTAACAGTGTAGATCCATTAAAAAAAAAAAAATCACACTGAATATTAAAATCTTCAAGCTAAAAAAAAAGAAAGAAAGAAAAGAAAACCCTCCTAAGAATTAAAACCAAGTGTGTGTCATCACTGATTCTGTGCTTGTGTCCCCAACTGATCAGACTCCTCCTTCTCTGTGTTATAAGACATGTTCGTTTCAATCTCCACACCAAGTCTCCAGGACACTTGAGTGAAGAGGCTATGCTACTACAGCATCTAAGGGAATAGAGTGGCACCATTTTCTTCCCTAATAGACTTCATATTGAAAGATGAGCATCAGGTCTCCCTCCACGGTGCTCACCGGCATGTATCAGGAAACAAAACTTGCCCTGCAGACTGATGACGGCTGATCCTCCCGCCCCGCCTCCAGCGCCAATATGAGGTTACCAACAGGTTTGTCATTATATGCACTGGCCTTTCACTCTTTCAATCAGAAAAGTTGTGATTACTTAAAAAAAGGGAGGGGGGTGGAGAAATGAAAAACCAAGAGTTTAAAGGCACAAAGTCGCATAGCTGCTCTAGTTGGAGTTTGTAAACAGAGAATAGGTTGAATTTAGGTAATCCCAATCTATGAGAGTAAAAAGGCATCCACAGCAGGCTTTTATCCAGCCAGCTTCTTTGAGACCCTTCATGGGTTTTGAGGTCTACAAAGTATGCACTAAAATACCCATACTTCAAAAAGCAATAAGGCAAATAGTATAATCATTATTCCAAAAGTTACAATGGTAGTGTAGGCATACAGAGTATAATTTAGTTACAATGTGTGGTACTGTTTCTATTATATAACCATATTAACTGTTTCTTTCCTACATAATTATATATTCAGCGAGCTTCAGTTGAACACAAAACCATCCTTGTACCACCACTGATAGTTGGCAATAGCTCTTTGATAGCAGTTTTTATTCTGCCGTAGAAATATCCTTGAACTGAAAGAAGTTCACAACCCAATGTCCAGTCATTAAACACTATCATATTTGTGAAGAGCTTCTTCCAACTTCTGTGTCACTTTTTGGAAAAATATTATTTGCTGTTGTAAGAAATGCTGCATCTGTGATTTAAAGTCTCTTACTCGAATTTGATGGAAGTGGTGAATTTCAGCCAATGTGGCAAAAGAAATAGTGTTACAGCGATCTTGAATGCCATCAGCCTTCTGGACTTCCATCTTCCCTTCTTCCACATGTCGCCTACTCTCCTTTACTTTGGTAAGAGCTCCTGTAGTTAAAAAAAAAAATTAATTAAGCATATATACACATGTATCCCAATGGCATAGCTACATAGTAAGCAGACTCTTGAGCATTATAAATACTTCCCTAAACTATTTAAAGCCCTTTGGAACTTAAAGAGATGACTGTTATTTTAAAATAAAAATAAAAAAAAGAAGAAGAAATCTGATAGGGTTTCTGAAAACCCCTCCACTGCTGCAATTCTAATTCTCAAAACTAGCACTTGCCAGTGACCAAGTATCTATAGTAGGTTTCATCTCTTCCAAACAGAGATACTATACATAACAAATAAACTACAAGGAACTGTCTCTAAAAATACAAACCAAGAAACTGTGATCTTCACTTAGGAGAAAAAGTGTGGCACCATTACAAACACCTTATAATAAGAAAGTTATCTATAAACACCATACCCCAAAGAAGGTGCAAATCTAATTCCTCAGAAAGTCTTACCGAAGAATTATTATAGAAGACTCTGGAAGTAGACTCTGAAACATGTTAACATGTTTGTGCCAACTTGGGTTGTGTTTTGGAAATCATGCTATTCATAGAGGGGGCTTGGAAATGATGGAGTCTACAATGCAAGGCTGCCTCAATTGGGCTGGCCAAGCCTGTGTCTTATTGGCAATGAAGGGGCAAGTCTATGTTGTACCAGGAGACTCACAGCCAGAGCACTGAGGCTCTGTGAACTAAGAATTTGCCACCTTTTCTTTAGGGGCTGTAAAGATCATTTTGAGTCTGCCCTAGTGATGATCTGGGAATGAAGCCAGGGATACCATAGCCTCTTGTCAAGAAATGTCACCAAAGGGTGTGTGCAAGGAGGAAGGAAAGGGACAGTCACTCTGGCAGGTGTCACATGAGGGAAGACCTTCCTCCAAAAGCATCATTATATGAAGACACAAAGAGCTAAGGATGTTTAGGGGTAGGAGACAAAGAATCTTCATGGGTTCTTAGAAATGACTGATGATAAAACTCAAATCACTTGAACATGGTCAGTTCAAGAACTTGGATTTCTTGACTCCATCTAGTACTTACTCTACTAACCCATGATGAAAGGTGAGAGAGAAATGTCTAGGACACCTGGCTGGGCAGTCTATACCATGGTGATACTAAGGGGGACAAAAGAAGGGAACCTGTTTAGAAGGAGGTGAGAAAGCTGAGGAATTTCTCCTAAATAATATACAGTTAAACCTAGCATTACATAAAACCCTTAGAGGTTAAACAGCATGCTTGTTTTTGGGGTGCATTTTTGGCATAGCTCAAAGACTTGAGAAATTAAAAGTATAATACATACATTTAAGATATGTATGTACATTTTCATTTGTTTATTCTAAATGAAGTTTTCAAGTGAGAAGCAGTAGTAGAGACTTGCACTTGATCCCATAGAGACACAGGGCAGGGCTTCCATGTAGAGATTATTTGCATTAACACGGCTTTAAGAAGAACCCTGACCATCCCAGAAGGAAGCCATCCCTCTGAAAGTGGGCACTTATCATGCACCTGCCATTGCTTACCAGACTAGTGAACCCATGAAATCTGCCAGCTTGTCATTTATACTAAAGAGAAAGAACTCTTCCCACAAAAAGAGAAAAATAATTTTTATAGCAATTTTATCTTTCTTAAATTTGTACAAGTCTCACAATTTATATACAAAATTAAAGTCAAAAAGACCAAGAAAGCATAGGAGATACCACTACAGGAAAATGTTTTCAAAGAGGACTGAGAATATGAAATCATGAAATACACATTTAAAATGGCAGAGAGAGAGGGAGGAGGAAGTAAAGAGAAAAGGCTTGGGTGATTTGACTATTTCATCACGATTCCACTCCCAGGTATCCAAGACCACTGGGCAAACAGTGAGGACACGCAGCATCCTACCCTGTGTATCCATGATGCATCCGTGCAACACGCTTCAAGTATTGCTCATTCTAGTTACTAGAACCTGAAGAATAGAGCAGGTTCTGCATACAGGGGTTCTGAAGCCTGGCCCAGGGCTGGGTGTTCATGTCTACAAGTTGCAGCTTGTCCAACTCTACATAAGATCACCATATTCTTTGAGACTACCCACTATTATACGGAATTGCAGTTGTGCATTTCTAAAAAGCAACTTAAAAGTGAACAAATCTGAAGTTTCTGCAATTTATCACATGGGTATACATTTTCAAAACTCTTAAGACACTCTTGTGTCCAAGAGTTTTGGACAAGTATTAAATCTCTCTGAGGCCTAAGGACATTTGGCATTTAACACCTTTAAGTTTTTTAAGTATATATCCTAAAGGAGTCAATGGGATTTAAGACTCATTTTTCTCCCAAGTATAAATTTAGTAAACAACACAAATGCTGCTACCTTCAAAGTCCCCAAAAGGTTCAGCTCTGCAGCAAAGATTTTAATTTGTTTAACAAACGTTTATGGAGGACCTAATGTGCACAGAGAGCATGTTGCTACAACAGGGAGATTCATATATTTCAGCATTCAAGACCCCATCCCCTCTACATTCTCGAGGAAGCCATTTGGCAAAGCATACAAAGAAAGACACAATCAGGACATGGCATGACATAGGACCATGAAGTACATAATTCTGCACAGAAGTTAATTATGTCTTTTTCCAATATAATATGTTAAATTGTGTCACAAGGGAAAATGCTAGAGGACCTACTAGATGCCAGGCACTATGATGAGGACAAGGTTGGGGGTGGGAAGCGGGCAGGGACCAAGTATATATAAAAAATAAATGTTAGCTTACAAAAACAGTAATAATATATGCCAGGCACTATCCTAAAATTTGTATGGAACCACAAAAGACCCTGAATAGCCAAAGCCATCTTGAAAAAGAAGAACAAACCTGGAAGCATCACAATTCCAGATTTCAAGATACACTACTACAAAGCTGTAGTAATCCAAACAGTATAGTACTGGCACAAAAATAGACAAAGGTCAATGGAACAGAAAGAAGAGCCCAGAAACAAACTCACGTTTTTACAGTCAATTACTACAAAGGAGGCAAGAATTTACAATGGGAAAAAGACAAGAAGCAGTGCTAGGAAAAGTGGACAGCTATGTGCAAAATAATGAAACTGGACCGCTTTCTTATACCATGAACAAAATAAACTCAAAATGGATTAAAGACCAAAATGTAGGATCCTGAAACCCTACAATTCCTAGCAGAGAACTAGGCAGTAATTTCTTTGACATCAGTGACAGACACTTTTCCTAGGTATGTCTTTTCTGGCAAGGGAAACAAAAGTAAAGTTAAACTATTGGGACTATACCAAAATAAAATGTTTTTGCACAGCAAAAAAAAAAACTATCAACAAAAAAAACTATCTACTGCACTGGATATTTGCAAATGATATATCTGGTAAGGGATTAATATCTAAAATATATAAAGGACTTCTACAACTCAACACCAAAAAAACTAAAACATTAATATATAATTTAATAAATAAATATTATATATCTAATAAATATATAAATGACTTCTACAACTCAACACCAAAAAGTTTAAAAAATAAGCAGAGGATCTGGACACTTTCCCCAAAGAAGACATACAGATGGCCAACAGATACATGAAAAGATGCTCAACATCACACATCATCAAGGCAAATACAAATTAAAACCACAATAAACTATCACTTTACACCTGTCAGAATGACAAGAAACAAAAAACACAAGGAAAAAAACAAGTATTAGGGAGGCTGTGGAGAAAAGGGAACCCCCACACACTGTAGAAATGCAAATTGGTGTAGTCACTGTGGAAAACAGTATGGAGTTTCCTCAAAAAAAATAAAAATAGAATTATCACATGATCCAGCAATTCCACTATTGGGTATTTGCCTAAAGGAAATAAAAACACTAATTCAAAAAGATATATGCACCCTCATGCTTACTGCAGCATTATTTGCAATGGCCAAGATATGGAAGCAAACAAAAAGTCCTCGATAGAAGAATGGATTTAAAAAACGTGTGATACAACACACACACACACACACACACACACACACACACGGGAATATTACTCAGCCATAAAAATTAATGATATCTTGCCATTTGCAACAACATGGATGGAGCAAGAAGGTATGACACTAAGTGAAATAAGTCAGCCAGAGAGACACAGATACCATATACTCTCACTCATATGTGGAACTTAAGAAACAAAACAAAGGGGGAAAAGAGACATACAAAACAGACTCTTAAAAGCAGAGAACAAACTGATTGTTACCAGAGGGGAGGTAGGCAGGGTATGGGTGAAAAAGATAAAGGAGATTAAGAGTATCTTAATGAGCACTGAGTAATGTACTTAATTGTTGAATCATTATATTGTACATGTGACACTAATGTAACACTGTATGTTATTATATTTGTCTAAAATATATACATATATCCACACATATATACGCTAGGCACTTTTCATATACTATAACTATCACTAACCCTACTGCAATTTTAAAACAGACATTACTCTTATTTTTACAAGAAAACTGGGGAAGCTACTCAACCTCTCTGAGTATCAAACTGGCCAGGTACCCAGGTAAGACGTGGAGATGGAATGTGAATGCATGACTGGCTTCAAAGCAAACACTATTTAGAAAAGAAATTGAAGCCTGAGTGGGCAAAAGAGCCAGGTGGGCCTAGGTGAGCAGGATGCTGGGGCGGGGAGTGGGGGGCGGTAAAAGTAAAAGCTAGGCAGCTGAGAATCAGCTATTTCTTCTCCTTTTGGCCAATGGCCTCCCCACATGCCCTCTAACTGTGGACAAGGCTCTTGTACTACCTACCCTCTGTACCTTCCTTATTAAGTCCCTGGCTTCTATTTTGATCCACAATTCAGAAGGCCTTGCTAGTATATAAAAGAACTACATAGCTTTTGAAAATTTCTCTCTGGAATCTTTAACGTCACAGAATTCAATAATTGTGCCTGTAAGGCAATCTCATATTTATAAGATGTCTGATTTTCTTGTCTTTGTAACAACACTTGGGGGCCACAGAATGAAACT